TAAATTCTAATTTTTCCTTCTTCTACTTTGGTCTCTCCCCTCACTCCTGCTACGCTCCTCTCTGACCTATGGAAACCTGAAGTCTTTTGTTTCTTCTATTTTCTCCTAGACTGTCAATTCCCTTCCTGGCCCAGAAAAAAAGTTATAATTGTTATCATTGATTTGATACAATCTTTTGATTGCTCTCAGTGATTCCTCTCAAACTTCTTCAGTATGGACCATTCTCCCCAACTGCTGATGTACACAAAATTCTTGTTCCCTTATGTTAACAGATTACCTCATTTCCTACTTCATCAAGAAAATTTGAGATCTTCAGAAATGCCTCCCTCAACTACCAGCCCTCCTTCTACCATGCCAACTTACACCCATACCATCCCTGCAGTCTTACCTCCAGTCTGAACGAGTGAGGTGCCTCACTTTCATTCAGTGTCAGCCCCTCCCCTTGTGCTGTCAATCTCTCTTCATTGTCCCCTCTTGGAAATTTACTCCAATTTTTTTTTTTTTTGGTACTATTTTATCTATCTTTAACCTGCTCCTCTTTGCCAGTGTCTTCATGTCAGCTTTCCTTTCCCTTGACCCCTCAGTTTTTTCATAGTCCCTTAACTTTTCTCCTCTCCTTTCATTCAGGCTTTATAAAGAATATTCTACCTGTGTTGTATCTATTTTCTTCTTCTTTATCTTCAACCCACTGTAAGATAGTTATCACCTGAAATGTCTATATTAGTCAAGGTTCTCTAGAGGGACAGAATTAGTAGGATAGATAGATATATAAAGGGGAGTTTATTAAGTAGTATTAACTCACACAATCACAAGGCCGCAAAATAGGCCCTCCGCAAGCTGAGGCACAAGGAAGCCAGTTCAAGTCTCAAAGCTGAAGAACTCGGAGTCCGATGTTCAAGGGCAGGAAGCATCCAGCGTGGGAAAAAGATGTAGGCTGGGAGGCTAAGCCAGTCTACCCTTTTCATGTTTTTCTGCCTGCTTTATATTCGCTGGCAGCTGATTAGATGGTGCCCACCCAGATTAAGGGTAGGTCTGCCCTCTCCAGCCTACTGACCCAAATATTAATCTCCTTTGGCAACACCCTCACAGACACCTCCAACATTAACACTTTGCATCTTTTAATCCAGTCAAGTTCACACTCACTATTAACCATCACAATGTCTATCACCAAGGTTACTAGTGACCTACTGTTTTTAAAATGGAGTGGATATCCTCGATCTCTTATTTCACTGGACACCTTTCCTGAGTAGGATGCTCTTGTTCACTTCCTTTTTCCTAACACAACTCTATTCATTGGACTCTAGTCACCCTTACACTTCTGGACACCATTCCTTCTTGTTGCTCTTCCTGTTTTCAGCCCTCAAGTATTAGTGTCCCTTAAGGTACTGTCCTCAGTCAACTGCACTCTAGTTCCTCTCACATTCCCCATGGAGAGCTCATTCACGTGAGTTTCTACTTCCGTGATACTGCTAAGTTGTATCTCCAGCTGAAACTTATTCTCTAAGCTTCAGTTTTTGATAGCCAGCTGATTCCTGGTAATCTCCACCTATGTCCTCCAGGAACCTGAAGTTAATTATGATCAAAACTGATTTCAGTCTCTCCCATTTATCTGCTTCCACCCCAATACTCTGCATCTCCATTGGTGACATCACCACATGCTGGGAAACTGGAAGACATGTTTGTGTATGACTCACTCCCTCGCCCCCATATCCTGTCACCAAGTCCTACCATTTTTATCTTTTAAATGTTTCCTGAAGCAGCTGCTTTTTATTCCTCATTACTTCTTTCATTACCAGCCCTGTTAAGTTTCCTGTTTTTGTTTTTCTTTTTTCAAAAAGGATAGAGTATATATACAGAACACCAATCTGCCAAAATCACTTTCCATTAAAAATATTTTAATTATGCTCCTTCACTTATGCAACAAAGTCTATCTCCTTTAAAAAATACAAGCTTTGAGTTTCTTGAGGGCAGAGGTCATACCATGTACTGTGACTAGTGTAATGCCTAGCACTTAGAAAATGTTTAATTAGATCTTACTTAATGAAGGGATGAGTAAATTATAGAAGTGCTGTGTATCCTTTCTTCTTACTCTTTTTTTCATACAGTGTCACTGTGTGGCAGAGACAATACTATTTGCCAAATAATCCACATCCTCCCTCTATGTTTCCCAGCCTTCCTTGCACTTAGGGTGAGGCCACATAAGTAGTTCTAGACAATGAGCTATGAGCATAAATGTTGCATGTCACTTGCAGCCCAATATCTTTAAGAGCAGTGGTGAATTTTCCACACTCTCTCTTCCCTTGCTTTGGCTCTCCTGACAATCTTGAGATGGTGTCACAACATCATGGGGCAGAAATGCATGCTGAACATACAGTAGTAGGGATAGTGGAAAGTAAGCCTTTTGTGTTAAATCACTGAGATTTCAGTATTAATTTGTTAAAACAGCATAATCTAATCCACCCTGAATAATAATAATATTTACTGTTACAAGTTTATACATCAGTCTCTGTCTTACTGTATACATACGAGCTTTTATTGAACCTCGCCCAGTGGGCAGCTCTTTTGCTTCTCCTTACATGTGCATAATGCATAGGTAAAAAAGAAAAAAGAAAAAGAAAAAAAAATTGGGAGGCTGAGGCAGGTGGATCCCCTGAAGTCAAGAGTTTGAGAACAGCCTGGCCAACATGGTAAAACCCCGTCTCTACTAAAAATACAAAAATTAGCCTGTGCCTGTAGTCCCAACTACTCGGGAGGCTGAGGCAGGAGAATCACTTGAACCCGGGAGGTGGAGGTTGCAGTGAGCTGAGATCACACCATTGCAGTCCAGCCTGGGTGACAGAGTGAGACTCCATCAGAGAGGAGATGAGGGGAAGGAAGGGGAGGGGAGGGAAAAAAAGGGGAAGAGAGGGAAGGGGAGGGGAGCCACACATAACTGATGTTTTCCAACTCACCTGCCTGTTGCTAGCCAGCCCTCTGCCTCAAAACCTCTGAATATCAGAGTGTGCCCCCTACACATAATTTATATTTTCCATCCTTGCCCAGCCTGACACATAGGCAGAGCAGTTCATTGCCTATTCCCTGTAATCTAAGTGAGAGTAGAAGTATTCTTCTACATGCTCACACACACACACATCCTCCGTACTACCTCATGGATGCCTTTGATTTCGCAGCAGAATGCCATGTCTCTAAATTTCAAACCTTGTTATTAAGGAAACTTCTCCCAAGAATCGTACCATGTTCTGTTGCAAGCACAGGCTAAAGGAATCAGAGACTATCTCCAAAGTAGATCTGGAAGTCTTAAGCCCTCCTAATTTGTTAGGGATGTGTAGATAACCTCCACTGACCTACAATTACTAATATTCTCATGGTAACTTTGATATAATTCCATTCTTTTCTACAAGTATTCTACAAAATGCACTGCTTTTGTATTTGGAACCTAATTAGGTTCCAAATTTCATTGAACAGATTTATATTTTGTTGTTTCAGTAATAATTCTTTCAGTTAGAAAAAACAAAAAACAAAAAACAGAAAATCTGCCTTCCAGGCTTATATAATCTTACCAGGATCTATCCTTTGGCTCTACTTTCTGTAGAAATGCTCCATCCTCAGACAGGCTCTCTTTTTGTCATGCGTGAAGTTCACAGGGCCACACCCTTTCAGTTTCATATCCAGTAGAGAAAAGCAAAAGTGTTTTCCCCAGAAGTCACAAAGATTCATTGCTTTGTATGTGTTCTGAGTGGGCCATGTTCCCATCCCTGGACCAATCTTTGTGGCGAGGTGGATACAATGCACTAGTTAGCTGAGGCCTTAATCATCTCCCAAAGTGGTAAAACAAACAAACAAACAAAAAAGGAATGGGCTTCAAAGGAAGCACAGGCCTAAGAATAGGGAAGGGAATAATCTCTGGAGAGAAATTAGGCTACCACAAGGAAGGTTATGATGTTGGCAGCAATAGCAACCTCTATTCTCTCTATACAGTCTGCTGCCTGGAGTTAGAATTTAGAGACAGCATCTAGTTAGAGAAAAAAAAGTGTTTCTTTATATACTACATGTTACACTTTGATCATATTCTCTCTGTCCCTTCTCTGAACTTTTTAAAAAACATATTCTAAAGTATTTTCCTATATGCTGCCTTGTGTTTTAGTTATTTATAAATATTTCTCTCCCCTAGGTCTAGATCTAAATCATTAGCTATTTCAAGGCAAGTACTGGGGTTTATATGACCGTGCGTTCTGCATTGTGCATTACATGTAGTAGGCATCCCCGACTATTCAACAAATAATTATTCATTGACAAAATGAAAGGATTAAAAGTCCATAGGTCTTCAGGTGGTAGCTTGAGGACTGATTTTGTAAAAGTCACTGGGTCTTACTCATCTTACTCATAGTATTAGGTTGGTGCAAACATAATTGCAGTTTTTTTGTCATTGAAAGTAATGGCAAAACCGCAATTACATTTGCACCAGCCCAATATTATCTCATCACAGTTCTGTAACTCCTGTGTGTGCATGGATGTTTGTATGTGAGGTACTAACAGACACACAGTAAGTCTAATAGACACACTAATAGACACACACAGTAAGACACAGCTACTGTGTGCCCATGGTAAGCAACAGGGATATGAGGATATAGTGATTACAAAACAAACATTCCCCCGGTCTTCAAAAGTTTATACTCTAGTGACAAAGACAGATGCTTATCAAATAGAGTATAATAAGTGCTCCAAAGAATAATTATAAGGTATTCAGGCAGAATGTATGTGAGTAATAGATCTTCAATTTTATTATTATTGTTCTAACTGATTCCAGATCAATTCCAAATTGGCTATGTCAGGGAATACCAGTTTTGCTAGAGATCGATTAAAGGTGGAATTTCTTAGATGATTAACACTAGATTCCCAAGTAAAAGCTCAAGATCCAAGAAATTACATTTTATATTTGTGAAAAGTAAAAACTAATTTAATTTTCTTTTCCTCTCTCCTTCCTCCTACCTCTCTCCCAGCCTGAAGTTCTGGATCAAATACAAAATTTAAGGGAGTTATGGATGGATAATAATGCATTACAAGTGTTACCTGGGGTATGTAAGTTTTTATTCTACCATGTCGTCTAATATTTATGTTATACATTTGTTGTATTTGATCATAATCTCAACTCTTAAATGTCAGTGTTTGTATTTCAAACTAAAATAACACTCATTAGGAGTGTTCAGTCACCAAGTGTTTTCACCCTTTTTTTTTTAGTATTTTGTGTATCTTTTTGAGTGTTATAGGTGTACAAAATATAAGAAAGATTTTTCTTATTCCCTTTGGAGTATATTTGTCATCTCTTCCCACATTTACTGTTCTTTAAAAGCCGAAATAATTTATAGTTATATTTTTAAAAAGCAAAATACTATATATAATACCAAGTTTTATTTTTACAAAATCAACCTTATTCTTACAGGTAACTAGACAATGGTTTTTATTCATTTTATTAGAGCTCTTTTACAAAACAAAAATCTCTCTCAGTTCAGGTGATTTTCAATAGAACCCATGTGAATTTTTGAAAATGGCAAGGATCATACAGTATTAAAAACAAAGTTAAACCAAAGACAAATTTTTTCCTCGACTAAAGGCCAGCCCAGTAGTATCTCCTGAGTATAGGTTTACCAGTTAACTCACTGAGTATGATTATTCCTGCTTTTTCCATCTAACAAAAGAATGTTCTCATAAAACACTGCCCCTTGCCACTTGCATACACACACACACTGAGAGAGAGAGAGAGAGCAAACACAAGTCTCCCTATTGTTTTGTACAACTCCAAACTCCTGGCATTGGTCTAAGTAGGCACAGCAGGTGAATATGTAATAAATCTTCAGCCAACACAGAGGTTTAGATGTGTATTCTCAAAACCAGTTTTATTTATTTTTTGAATTGACATTAAAAATTACTTAAAATGACAGCAAAACCAACAAGAACAAGACATTTATTCTGCCTTTGAACAAGCATAAGACCACATAAAGGAGAAAATCTGAAACAGAGATTATGGAAAAATAATTAATGCTCTTATCAAAAGATACATTTATACCATCACAGACACAAAACAGAAAAATATGCACATCTATTATTCACTGATTTATTTAAAAATCAGGTACCAATAAAGCTCTATGAAACAGAAACTTTGCTAATGTCAGGGTTACAAAGATAATATATTCAATGACCTTGAATATATTTGTTTGAGAAGCTCACGCATGGCAGGATAAACTGATCTGGATTTCACTACTCATAGCAGAGCCTGATTTGTGCTATAGTCAAGGTATGTACAAATCCTGAGGCAACACAGGTAAGACACTTACCAATCCCTGCGCAAAGATTGAAGAATCAGAATGTATGCCTAGCTGAAAGTTTATACCTCTTCTTCAATATATTTATTTGTTAAAAATTACATGGCATTTACCACGGGCTAAGCATTCTCTCTCTGTTTTACAAATATTGATTCATTGAATCCCTACAACAACCCTATGAAGTAAGTTCTACTACCATCCCCATTTTATAGATGAGGAAACTAAAACACAAAAAAAGTAACTGGCCCAAGATAACACAGCCAGTAAATGGTGGAGCTGTAATTCAAACCAGCGCCAGAGGCTGCTGTTGACTGTAAAGCTCCCAAAGGCTCTCTATGGAACCAATAGAAGGTACAAATGAGAATTTTACTTTTCACAATGTTTACATTCCCAAAATCCACTATGTAAATCAACTCACATGCCAAATTTCTCAATAAGTTTGTTATTTAAGTGGAAAGGCAGGGATGAAATCTTCCATAAAGCATATAATGCTGCCTAATTTGTCTGTCTCGAGAGTAGATTTTTCATATGTACTGCTAGCTTTATATAGATTCCCTACTTTATTTTGTGTACTTGCACTTGGTATTTTGTTATACGCTGTGTGGGAATACTCTACACCTCCCTGCCTGAAATAGCCATGGCTTTCTGGATGTTGGTGCTGGCAAAGAATTGCTTTTCAGTTACCCCAAAATACTTGACTTTGAATGGTTCATCTTGAGTGCGGTCTCCAGCCTATGTCAGTTTCACAGAATAATTAAAACATTTAATATCATTAGCCATGGGGAAAAGAAACACATTCACTTTTTTCTTAGTTCATGTATCATAATAAAGTTAATATACTTTGTGAATACTTTTGAATAGTCTGGGCTATTATTTTCCACTGTGTTTTTCACAAATCAGAGAAGCAAATAGATAATGATCAAATATTTAGTCTTTTACATAGTTCTATCTTGTAACCATCAATCTAAGGTTAATCAACTAAAATATGACTAAACCATGTATTGAATTCACATTTATTTTAAACAAACTCCAGTGTCTTCTTTTACTTGTGGTTTCTACTCTTTTCATCTGCTGTCCACTGCTCACCTATAGACCCTTCTATGCCCAGAGGATGTGAGATCAACATTCAGTATCCTCAAGGACTGTAAGAATTTATGCCTTTACAGTCCTCAGGCTATGATTGCTTTGATACAGTGTTTTCAACATCAAAGTGTTATTCCAAAAAGAATGTTTAGGAACTGCACATCAAAATATTAAATTATGCTGAAGATAGACACGAAGGAAGCTTCAAGGAGAAAATAAATTTTCTCATGATATCTCATGATCAAGGAACAAAAAAGAAACACACACACATCATTCTTTCATTGCTCAATGGGAAAGAAGAGTGAACTTAGGTAACATGATAGTTCCTTGGGATGGAAAGCTATGAGTAAAGTGACAGTATTTTTCCAAGTGACACATTTCCAAGCATGAGGAGAAACTCTGTCTCATCCAAAGTACTCTGGTTCTAGCTAGCAAATACTCAGTCACTCCAAGCCTGTTCTCACACTCTGCACCCATATGGGAAGCTGAGGGAGCAGGGCTAGAGATTTGCACGGGGTTAATTAAGGATATGTGCCCTCCAAATGGGCTTTGTAGCCTGTAGTCTGATAAAATTGAGTTTGAAATCAGCTCCACCCCATATTAATGAGATAACTTTGGAGTGTTACTTGTAGTAGATGCTCTCATGCATCCTTCTTCAGGACTGAAGAATTTACTCTATTCCTTCAGCTTCTGGAAATGCTGCTTGCAGCTCTCCAGCCTTCTTCAGAAATTGCCTCACCTAAAGAGAACATCTTCACTCATGGTCATAACCCCATTCCCAGAGACCTCCATCCAATGATCAATCAATGCAGGTATATAAAGGCTCAGCCCTTCATCCTCTACTCAGAACAACTTCAGGGCAATCCCAAATTCAGTGATCTTGGAAGTGCCAGCCAAGGACTTTCTTAAGACTTCATCACAGCCCAACTTCTTTGTCTACCCAATCTTGCTCCCTTTCTTTCCTGTCTCTTCCTTTCTACTGGAAAAACTTCTCTCTTTGCCTCTGCTTCCGAAGCAATCCAACATGTGACATGACTTAATCGCCAATCGTTAATATGTGTTAAAATGCAGATTCTGATTCAGCAGGTCTGGGGTGAGTCTGACATTATACTTTTTTTTTTTTTTTTTGGCAGAGTCTCACTCTGTTGCCCAGGCTGGAGTTCAGTGGTGTGATCTCAGCTCACTGCAACCTCCGCCTCCTGGGTTCAATGGATTCTCTTGCCTCAGCCTCCTGAGTAGCTGGGATTACAGGCGCCCGCCACCATAGTCAGCCAATTTTTGTATTTTTAGTAGAGACGGGGTTTCATCTTGTTGGTCAGGCTGGTCTCAAACTCCTGATCTCATGATCTGCCCACCTCGGCCTCCCAAAGTGCTGGGATTACAGGTGTGAGCCACCGTGCCTGGCAGAGATTATACATTTCTAGCAAGCCCCCAGATGGTGTCAATGTGCTGGTCTGCTGAACACATTTTGGGTAGCAAAAATATAAAATATTGAATCAAATAATATATATATAGCATAGTGCCAAGTGCAAGCTTGTGTGTATGTAATAAATGTATGTGCTTATTGTGTGTTTGTTTATTTATACTCTGTCAAGTAATTAGAGATGGTAAAGTATGCACAGGTAGACCAGATAAACAGAAGAACCATTCATTGAATAACTGAAATGTGTGGAACATTTATTTACAAAACATGCCCTAAAGGAAAAGGAAAATGAAGACCTTTGCCCTGCCCTAACTCCTCTAGTCCGTGTCCCACCCACATGTTCACTCCTTGCCCAAGATACGGGTTTCTCCTCAGAAATCAGTTACTAATCCAGTCGTTCCACCTCTAACTTACTCTGGAGTCCATCCCTCTTCATCCTCACTTCTGCTGCCTTAACAGCTAAAATACTTCTATATCCTTCTAACAGATCTCCTTGACTCCAGCTTTTGAAAGTTCCCTGAAGTTATTTCTTCTAAGCATAAGTCTGTTCATGTTATTCCCCATTGTACAATCCTTTTGCTTTCCTTGCCTATAAAATAGAGTTCACATTTCTTCACATGACATAGAAACCCTTTCAGCAGCTGGCTTCTCCCTGTAATCTCAGCTTCATCACTATACTCAGCCACTTTGAATTTCCCAGTCTTCCTCAAATATAGCATGCTTTGTCACACTTTATAAATGTACATGCTGTTCTCCCTTCCAGGTACAGGTTCTCTTCTTTTGACAAGCAGCATCTTCCAGGCCATTTGCAGTCCTTCCCTGTTCTATGGCATTCACTACATGCTTTTTTATTGCACTTGTCACAGGGTATTATAATTGTTTCTTACTTGAAAGTTTCCTTCATTACTCAGAACCCTTTATTGATAAAAAACTTTGTCTTCATCATGGCAAGTCTGTCCCCATACTTAACTGTCTTACTCTTGATTGTTCTTCAATACATAACACAGATACTGGTACATAGTAGATCCTTCAAAAAGGGCCATTGAATGAGCAAAACATTGACCCTGATTAATAGGGTCATCTCCAAAATTATAATTGAAAACCTTTCTTATGAATTTGAAGTTTTAAGGATCAACATGCCAATGTCATTGTTTCAATGGCAACTTATTTAGTTGGGAGTTGTTTATTTTATTCAGTGCCAACTTCAAGGTTATTGTGTGTTTTCTAACTGCTGCACTGAGATATAATTCACATACCATATGCAGTTCCTTGGTTTTTGGACTACTCACATAGTTGTACAACCATCACCACAATCTAATTTTAGAACATTTTCATGACCCCTAAAAGAAACCCTGAACCTATTAGCCGTAACTCCCATACTCCCCATCCACCCAGCTCCCAGCAACCCTACTCAACTTTCTATCTCTATGGATTGGCATATTCTGCACATATCATATAAATGGAATCATACAATATGTGGTCTTTTGTGACTGGCATCTGTTACTTTGCATGCATTTTCAAGGTTCATACATTGTGTAACATGTATCCATACTTTATTCCTTTTTATTGCCAAGTAATGCTTCATTATATGTATATGCCACATTTGATTTATGTGTTCATCAACTGATGGACATTTGGGTTGTCACCAATTTTTGGCATTGTGAATAATGCATCTGTGACCATTTGTGTAAGTTTTTTTATGTATATATGTTTTTATTATCAGTGGTGTGTACTTATACTGGTATAAGCCTATTTATTGTTGAGTCATTTTGAGAAACTGCCAAACAGTTTTGCAAAGTGGCTATACCATTTTACATTCCTACTAGCAATGTTTGAAGTTTACAATTCCTCCATTCTTGCCAACACTTGTTATTTTTGTGGTTGCTTTTAAAATAAACTTTACGGTGTAGTGGTTCTTACAACTTTAAAATGTCTTGTGAAAGTTTCTCAACTAACCCTGAGTTTATGCAATGTCATCAAGTCTATAGGGAAGTTAAAGATGTTGGTATACCTGGATATGTCAAAAAACAGAATAGAAACAGTTGACATGGACATTTCGGGATGTGAAGCCCTTGAGGACCTCTTATTGTCATCCAATATGTTGCAACAATTGCCTGACTCTATAGGTGAGGATACAATATTTTGTCACAAATATTTATGTCAAATATACCATTTTCTTTTTTGGAAGTATAGTTTGTCTATAGATATAGGTAATATACTGTTAGCCTGATGTTAATACATTTTAAAATGTGCTATGGAAATCATAAAATAGTATCTAACAAATATCTTAAGTGAAATATTAACTCTAGTGTCCAAATTCAAGAAGGCTGTCCTGTTAAAATGATCCTACAAAATTGATATTGTTTAAAAATTGTTATATCTCCTAAGTTGCAAAATGTTATTATAAGGAATATGTGTGTTTTCTTTAGAGTAATTTAATAATCATGTATGTATCCTTATATTGTGATAGAATTACAATAGCTTCCATCCAAAAGATGTTGCTATATTCTATTTGTAATATTGTTGTAATATTGGTATAATATGAGTAACATATAAAAAGTATAAACATAAAATGTCTTCTTAGTTCTATTATTTTTAAAAAGTCACATCTCCTTAACATGTTAAGATTCATTAGATCAGATAATTTGCCTGTTAGTATATAAAAAGCACTCATACATTTTCATTTAAGAATGTTTATATGGCCCGGGCACAGTGGCTCACGCCTGTCATTCCAGCACTATGCGAGGCCGAGGCTGGTGGGTCACAAGGTCAGGAGTTTCAGACCAGCCTGGCCAATATGGTGAAACCCTGTCTCCACTAAAAATACAAAAAGTAGCCTAGCATGGTGGTGCATGCCTGTAGTCCCAGCTACTTAGGAGGGAGGCTGAGGCAGGAGAATCACTTTAACCCAGGAGGTGGTGGTTGCAGCGAGCCAAGATTACACCACTGCACTCCAGCCTGGGCAATAGAGGGAGACTCTGTCTCGAAAACAAACAAACAAACAAAAAAATTTATATGAGTAAAATAGTGAAAGATTAATTTAAATAAGGAGTAAGCTTTTTTTATAGGTATCTTGCTGTTAGTATTTATATGAGAACTCTACGAAAAGGGTAATCATTAAATCACTTAACTTTGTAACATAGATTTTAGCCTCTTTGAAACAGATGTGTTATATGTTCTGGAACTTAATCATTATTAAGACTGACTGAAGTTCAGAATCAGTCTTATATTAGCAATGTGTTGCTCTTATCCTTTGTGGATGCTGCAGATCCAGTCCAAGCCAGCTTGTGACTTGCCATAGTTTTCCAGTGAATTTTCTGTTCCCCTTTTCCCTAGCTCCACATACTAGTTGTAAATTTTTAATCATTATTAAGTTCCAGAACATGTAACTTTTTAAAAATTAAGCCATATCCTAGATAATCCAGTTGAAGATGAGGCAATTTCCCAAATTTTTCTTCAATGCATTATTACTTCTATTTAGCCATTCTTTGAGGCTGATAAAGAACATTAGTTTTAGCAAAATTGTGGTCTATCTTTTCTTTCTTTCTAGAACTGTTGACTTTTTATTTACAAAATCACATATTTTATAATGGTATTTCTCTAACTTGCTCAATCATGGGTCTTAACTGAGAGTTTTATTAAACACTTCCACATTTCTAGGCTTTGTCTCTTAAGATTCTGATTCAGTAAATGAGACAAGCCCCCGATCTGTATTTTTATTAAACATCATAGATGAGACTTGTGATCAGACAAATTAAGGAAATACTGGTTTATGTTGTAACAGGTAAAGAAGTATGATTATAGAGAATATCCACTGGTCAAGATGACAGAGCAACTTAATACATAACCTTACACCCCTACTCAACCACCATCCCATACCATTTTAAATATATCATGAAAATATAAAAACTATATATATTCAAAGAACGTATTTTTCTTCATTACTGACTCCTCAGTGCCAAGAACTGTGCCTGGCATATTCTATGTGCTGTTTGAACACTTAGTAAATAAAATAGTTTAGCCACACTCACCCAGGCATGGTGGCATGTGCCAACAGTCCCAGTTACTCAAAAGGTTGAGACAAGAGGATTGCTTGAGCCCAGGAGTTCAAGTCCACCCTAGGCAACATAGAAAGACTCCATCTCCGGAAAAAAAAAATTCTGATTTTTAAAAAAGAAAAATTATCTTTGCTTAAGAAGAATGAACATCAACCTGAACCTGTGATAGAATGGAAAGCCAGCAATATCCCCAGGCCTGATGGGCTACAAACCACAAACAGCAGCTGTGAGTTTGGTTCTTACAGTGAAATAAGAAATAGAAGGACCTTAAACACAACAGAGGAATCAGAACTTACAGAAGATTAAGGTGGGACCTCTTTTCTGTGAAAAGGGACTGAAAAAATTTACAGCTAGTATGTGGAGCTAGAGAAAAGGGAAACAACAGAAAATTCACTGCGGAAAACTATGGCAAGTCACAAACTGGCTTGGACTGAATCTGCAGCATCCACAAAGGATAAGACCACCAACATTGCTAATATAAGACTGGTTCTGAACTCCAGAAACCTGGGGGTCAGGTGGAGGTAACCAGAAAACTGCCAAACAGGGAGAGGTGAGCATAGTGAAGGGGGAAACGTTCACCCTCACAGATGAGCTTGCAAACAAAAATGTTGAAGGAAACTCATGTTGCTTTGACAACCAAAAATTCAACCAAATAGCAGAATTTACCCTAAGGGAAATAAAAGTTATCAACCAATATAAAAATTATTTTAAGTATGTATAGAACTTCAAATAGATAAAAGAATAACAATTAGTTGTTATATCCAAATAATTAGTGCCAGTAAAAGAGGATTCTTTTATATTTAAAATGCTGAAATATAATAATATGACTTATCAAACAAAAATATGAGCTATGACTAAAAATAGATGATTAAGAAAAAGAATCAATTAAAAATCCTGAAAATGAAAAGGAAGATATTGGTCAAAGGGTACCAAGTTGCAGTTAGACAGGAGGAATAAATGATTAAATGTACAGATATGTTAATTAGCTTGATTCAATCATTCTAAAGTGATACCACTGCATCACTATGTACCTGATAATTATTTACAATTTTAATTTGCCATAAAGTTTTCAAAAATAAATTTTGAAAAATAAATCTTGGAAATTAAAATACCACCTTAGGTATGAAATACCACATAGGGAAATTTTAAAATACAATTCAGCTATAATGAAGAAAGTATGTATAGTCAGGTAAAAAATTTGTAAGTTGGAAGACAGTGCTGAGGAACAGAACAGGCACATAGAAATTTGTTAATAAGAAATATTAAAGATGACTTAAGAGACACAGGGAATAGAATAGAAATTGCATTCTAAAAATGAAAAAAAGCAAAAAAAATTACATTCTCCGGGAATAAATACAGAATTCTAGAAATACAGAACAGAATAAATGGAAAAGAGGAGCTATTCAAAGAGAAAACAGTTGATACTATTTTTCAGCATTAAATACACAACTAATATATCATACTAAATGCATAGTGCTAAAAGAGATAAATATAATAAATTTGCACTGGCTCATTGTTCTGAAACTGCAAGGACAAAGAAAAATATTGTTTAAAGCTGCCATAGAACAAAAAGAGCTTATCTACAAAATAATAATTAGAGAAGTCATAATTGTCATCAGTGACAATATCTTCTGGACAGTGGTGTAATATCTCCAGAATACTGAAGGTTAATCACAGGCAGACTGGATTTCTATACCCAACTAAACATTCATTCAAGAGTGAGCGCACAACAGATATATTTGAACATATACCAAGAATAAGAGAATCTGCTCTTAAAAGATGTACTTCACTCAGAAAACAAAAAAACTCAGAAGGAAGGAAGTGAATACATAAAGCAATGGCAAGCTTTACCAAATTTACCAACTTAATTTGGTAAATTGAGTAACTAAATTTACCAACTTAAGTTGGTAAATTAAATTAATTAAATTACTCAATTTGGTAAATGATGTTGTTATATCTAAATAATTAGTGCCTGTAAAAGATGAATCTTTTATATTTAAAATGTTGAAATAAAGAACAGGGTAGAGCAATGTTAGACAGGATTAAGGAATGTGAAGGACCTTATCTTATTCAAGCAGAGGCTAGAAATACTGCATAACTTTGCATGAAATATTCAGTTAAATAGATATGTTAAAAATGTAAATGTATCTACTTAATAGAAATGAAACTGATACTTCCAAACCAGGAGAGGAGAGGAAAAGTTCTGAAAGAAAATATTCATATGGTGGAAGAAAGAAAAATAAAATGTAAAAAAAATGATAAAATAGAAGTTATAAAATAAGATGGTAAAAATAAATTCAAATTGTCATAAATCACAACAAATGTAATAGATTTAATGGATTAAACTTATTCTGTTAAAAGATCCAGAATTTCAAGTTCAGCTATATTGTGGTTATGAGACATATCTAAAACAAAACACAGAAAGTTTGATTTTACAAAGGCAATAGAGTTCATTACCAGACTGGGCAACATAGCAAGTCCCCAATTCTACAAAAAAATTTAAAAATTAACCAGGCACAGTGGCACACACTTGCAGTCCTAACTACTAGGGAAGCTGACACAGTAGGATTGCTTGAGCCCAGGAGTTCAGAGGTTGCAGAGAGCTATAATAGCACCATTGCACTCCAACCTGGGTGACAGAATGGGACCTTGTCTCAAAAAAAAAAAAAAAACTGGTAGAAAATGAAGCATTATTATTAACATGATATAATTGTTTGTATAAAATAGTTTCCTTTAAGAAAGCAAACTAGGAAATTAGCCTTCTGGTCTGAAGAAGTCAGCATGTAATGGGTAACAGAGAATATCAAGCTAGACACTGGATTGGCATATGACACACTAGGATAGGTAGGTGGTATTATATATTTTACACCTTCATTTATGACCTGAATGCTTCTCAGAGTAACTGTTGTAGTAGCTTACTCCTTGAACTATCTTTGGACCTTATTGACCTGTCAGGGAAATTTGTGTTTTTACATCTGCAGAGTTGCCACAGTCCCTGATTATAGATGTAGAGTAACTGACTCTCCTCAGAGAATTCCCTTTCTTGATCAAAATAAATATCTGGAATAGGAAACTGAGAGCTCTGTTCTGAGGCCCTAGAATGGTTCATTGGTGATAATTGCATGGCGAATTGCATTATGTCCTCCTTATTTGGAGCATGGATTATCTATTGGACTACCAACATTTAAAAGAATAAAAGATAAGAGTCTTCACAGTATTAACAGAGGGATATGGCAACTAAAATAAAATCTTTACTTTCTTCATGCCTTTTTTAGTTCCTCTGCAGCAATAGGGTATTTGAATGGAGTGATATACTCAACAACAAGCCCTGTATACTGAGTCACTTTTCCTGTGCTGGTTCCAGGGCAAATGAAAGGGACTCTTTTCCTCTTCTAGATGGAGAGTTTTAATAATCTTTGGATAGCAGAGAAACTCAATAAAGAAAAATAAAAATAAAGAAAAAAATTTTGCTTAATAATTTATCTTACTCCCTTACAGGTTAAGGGCACGGGCTTTATAGTTAGGTTACTTAGAGATCTGATTCTGGCTTTTCTACCTTACTTGCTGTGTGACCTTAGACAAGTAATCGTGCCTCAGTTTCATCATCTATTAAGTGATAGTAGTAACAGTACCTGACATATAGTAAACAACTATTGTAATAATATAATATTTATTATAATCTTAGATTTGATGAGTGCACAACTATTTGCTTTCAAAGTTCTATTGTATATTTATAAATGTAAATATTAGTAAATTAATGTTTAATATATTGATGCTGATCATATATGTGTGTATATAGTTAAAATTATAGGAAAAGGCCTTCTTTTTCTATCTCTTCAGTATTTCTTAATTGAGAGTATAGGATGAAGAGATGGAGACTTGGAGAAGTGCACAAGTAGAGAGAAGGAATAGGATAAAATACCTTTGATTACTCTAGAGAAAAGAGTCCAAGTGCATATGATATAGAAATGCAATAAATATATTATCTGCCAGAGGAAGACATGAGCAACAAGGGTGAGGCTTGCAGCCTAATTTCATCTCAGGAGCAGTCATGATTCTACAGAAGCTCCAGACTGTCCAAAGAGTATCCTCTTGGATGGAATATGAGTGTTGGCAAAATAGCCACATCACAGATGAGTGAAATTCCTTTAAACCCACAGACTTGGAGCTGAGCGGGAACTAAATTGCTTCAATCTTTAAAAATATTGAAAAAGATGCACTTAACAGAAGCTTCTTGTGAGAGCCACTACTCTAATCTTCAGGAAAATCTGTCACATCAGCATTTAGCCTTAGGCCCTAACCTGCCTCAGGATTTTCTCTGCATTACTTCAGACCTGGAGACCATGATCCTCTGAAAGTACTTTGCACCCTGACTTTGTGATGTTTGCTCAGCCATCTGTCACCCACTCCCAAGCTTCTTGTGACCCAGTTGAGTGATGTTGAGACCATCAACCCACCTCCAGCTCCATTGGCAGGCAGGGCGCTCGTCTGATCCAAGCTACCAAATCACAAAAAACTTAACTATAATTCATACTTCCCTGTTTTCTTTCCATAACTGAAAAACAAGCTCAGGTGTTCTTTTATACTTCCAAGGCTGATATTTTAATATACGCTCTAGAGAAGCTAAAATGATTCAATCACCTTTTGAACATAGATGGATATGGCAGTGGATGTTCAGACTTCAATGATAAATTGCCACAGTGTGAATTGTCCCTTTCCCAGGTGATGCTGTTTTCAAGCTGATGTATTCAGCTCCCAGGTATTTACTTATAACAGTCTGATAGTGATAACATTTCTCTCTACTGCAGTAGAGATTCTGAGTGCTTCTGAAGAATACGTAATAGAACATACTGAAATGTGAAGTGCAGCCACAGCTTTATTTCAGACTTTTTGTGATTTACTCTATGCCTTTGAGGAACCCTCAAAACACTTGAGAAATATGAGCATGATTTATAGCCAGTTTCTCAAAACATGTTCCCAAAAACTAGCTCGACAACATGTTGTGCACCACCCACACACACACACACACACACGAATTCCATAATAACTCTGGAGAGTCACATTAGTATATTAAAAGCTCCTAGAAAAACTAGGATTAAATTAAACAAAATTAAATTTTGTGGTTTTTTTGTTTATTTTGTTTAATTTGGTGTCTCTCAAAACATATTTGACCATGAAACTTACTATGTCAATTAGAACATTTTTTTTTTTTTTTTTGCAGAATGGAGCATTCTATAGTGTATGTATGTAGTTCCAATGTAAAACGAAATTTAAGTGTTAATCCTTTGCCCTTGGATTTGGACTATTTAAGCCATATCAATATTGTAGGTTATTTTATGGTTGGGTAAGGAAGTTGATTATGCCAAATGCAACTGTTCTTCAATTACTGTGTGGCTATTGCTCATTAAAGCCCTGGGAAGAGGGCAAGCCGTTAAGGGTATGGAGGCCGTAAATCAGATAGTGAAAGATAAATAGTTGTAACTTAAATTCCTGGCCAGTTCTAAGTTTTTGTGCTTATTGCTGATCCAAGGCAGGATTTATGGTGCCAAAAAGAATATGAGGTCATACATTGTAAATTTCCAAGAACATAATTATAACCACTGCATTGCAATACTTCAGTATTCATTTTTGTTGATCACTGGGCTCAATTCAGATTTGTTTCCAATTTATATCACAACAGGGATGTTAGTTATTACTGCTTAGGAGTTAATTAAATATTAAATCACAGCTGGCTTGAAAAATTTCAACTGGTCCATTTGCTGTAGAATACAAAAGGGAAATGTAGTAGTATTAGTGTCAACTGGGGTGTATGTGGAGCTGTATGTTTTGTTTATTTCTGTGCATTTTTATTCTTGAACTGTCATTGATGTATGCATTTTTTTGCAACCAGAAGGTCAAAATTATACTACACACAAATGTCAGTTTTATGAGTGTGTATTAGCAGAGTGTGGCCAATTAGCATGCCAAGCATTCAACACAAGTGATTCATTTGATTTCTTTTATATAACATTTTCTGTCATAAATCTGCTTTTATGTATTAATCAACCTTCTTCTCTGTTTTAGGACTTTTGAAAAAACTAACTACTCTAAAAGTAGATGACAATCAACTTACAATGCTACCCAATACAATCGGAAAGTAAGTGCCAACTTTTCATACCAGTCAGCCTCTCTAAAGCCAGAAACTAAAGGATATATTGAGTTTTCTACTTCAAAACGTTTTCTACTAAAGATACCAATAATCCTGTTCATCTGTCAGCTTATTTTAAACTATATTTTATTTATATATATTTGTATGTGTCTTAATTTAATTTTATATCTAAACATTGCATTTGCCATCCAACTTTATAATATCATGAGAAATGTTTACCCATGAAACTTTCACAAGCAAAATGATTACCCAGACCTTCAATTATACTCTTGCTGGTATTTTTCAGATATTATTAGTTTGATGTTTTTGACTGTGTAGCAGCTCTGAATTCACTTGACTATTTCTTGCAAAATTAAACCAATTTTTATAAGGCTCTGCAATATGTATATGTTACCATTACACTATTAGTAACATTTGATATTCATAGAATCTTAATGTATTTTTAGAAGCTAAAGAGAAAAGCATCTGCTTAACTAGCATTTTTTAAAACTTCAAGATGAAAGTCTAACATTGCCTTTTAAAGATAAAATATACTCCATTTATTTGATAATAATTTCTTTCTAATTTTATATTGTCATTAACATTTCGTTTACAATTCTTTAAGAACTATATATATTATCAATGTTCCACTGAAGTACTATTGTTTACAATCTGTGTAAAATGAGAAATCAATAGAGGCTGTCTTCATTCTGAAATTATGTAAGGGCATTTTATTGAGATCTTGCCCTACATCTTAATGTGAAGAATCATATAAATTCTTAATTTAACAAATTTGGTATTCTCAAGAAGGGAAAGCCTTATTTTTTAAATAGCTTTTTATTAAGCATAATTGACATACAAAAAACTGCACATTTAAAGTCTACAATTTGATAAACTTTGACATTGCTAAGAAGCCTTGAAACTATCACCACTGCAATGAAGACAGCGAAAATGTCTGTCACCTCTCCCCCAATCCTCCTCCCCATCACTCCCTCATCACCTGCCAAGTCAGCATATAGCCCCTGATCTAGAAAGTTTAACTTTTATAGAGTGGAGCAACTTGCTAAAATTCAAACTCAGATGTTCAGACTTTGAAGAGTAGTAAAATTCTCAACCATTTTTTTTTATTTTAATGCCCTCACTCTACAGTGTGTTTCTCTCTACAGTTACTTGCATTTTCTCCAGTATAGAGCAGAGAGAACTTAACTTTAAGGGTATACAAAACTAACTATCTTTATCAGCCCGGTGTTTTTTAAAAGCAGGCACTAAGATAGGCACTAATCTTTCTTCTTTGGGTCAATACTCAGGGGAAACTGAATTGAGCTTCTTTTATCCCTGCTTACATCATGATTGGTATTTGCCACTTATGTTCATATTTCTTATGAAAGTACCCTGGCTCTTTGAAGACAAATTAAAAAGTGTCAATAGCCTAAAAATAGACAAAGAAAGATAGCTTTTTCAGTAGGAAGTATAACCCTGATTTTGGTCATCTTGAGAACTAGATTTGTTGGTAATTTTTAGCCAGAATTTTGGCCTCTTGACCTCCCAGGTGAGGACCTCCCAGCTTTTTCTGGAGTCTGGTTTCAGCCCATGACCAACACTGGATACATGTGTGCCTTGAGCTCCCATCATACCCCAAAGCAAGTTCCTGCCTCTGACCTTCACCAACAGAACCTCATGCCAGACTTTGCCTCAGGAACAGGCAACCTGAAGCTCTAACTCTGTCTCCTCCCCAGCAGCCAAGCGGGGCTTGCAGCCTGGCTCTGTACACACAGCCTAAACTACAGTCAGTCTTAGTTTTTATGCTACCACCAGAATTTAGTCATGTCCTTTGAAATCTTCCTGGTAGTTGAATTATAAATGTGGAGAAAACTGAACTGTTTAAATAGTAACTTGGTATAAGCTTTTATACTACTATATTCAAAAGGAACAGATATGGAAACATCAGTTGGCTGTCAGCAGCTTTCACTTGCTTGGACAAAAAGCTTATTCCAGAAAAGCAGGGTGAGTAACTGAGAATTAGAGCATCTATGAACACTGAGAAGGCAGAATAGTGAAGCTTCTTATTGAAAGCTTCTCATTCTTATTAAATTTTCAGATACCACAAAGCCAGAAAAAATACTTACGTTCGATGACAGAAGCAATATTTCAAAAGCTGAACAGAGTGGGTGCTTTGTTGAAAGACCCAATAGAACTTAATAGAGATTCTTGGAGAAGTAGGGAGAAATCAGTGCTTTGATTGGCCATAATCAGTATAGCCAATATAATAATGGAACTGTCCAGAAAACCACTGAAGCATTAGCTGGGTAGACGGAAGTATCCACTCAAAAATAATAGGTACTAATAGTTCAGGTGTTCTCTGACACTTCTGATTCTGTCAGTTCTGGACTTCATCTGTATCAATTGACAAGAGGGCAACCAGCATGAGAGATGTGGAACTGTGATTTATAGGAAAAAAGCAGAAGAAATTTGTGATGTACATCTTCCAGAAATTTTTTTTTTAAATCATCTGAAGTAAGGATGTAACTACTTGAGAAATAGAGTATCCAAAAGTGTGGGACCATAGGCCCAGCTCTTCTTCTGTACAGCTCCCATTCCACTTCCAGACTTATTGGCACACTGTGCTCTTCCTTACTGAGGCACCAGGAGCCCAGAAAGCTGCTGCTGCCACCCACTCTAGTTCTGGACTCTTTCCTCAATGATGGCTTCAGAGTAGAGGAGTACTTTCAATTCCCACCCTACTTGCCTTCGAGGACACAAATGTCTAGGGGTCTTTGCTATAGGGCTTTCCTACTAATTACTGGGGAAACATTGCCAGAATATAACAAAAAATTCATGCTACAAAGTTAAGAAATTTTATTATAAAATGTATAAACAGCCTATACAGACGGGCCTGATGATAGTGATAGTACGGTCATGCCAGTAGTGGACCACATATACGACTGTGCTCCCATAAGATTATAATACTGTATTTTTACTGTACCTTTTATATGTTTAGATACACAAATAGATACCATTGTGTTACAATTGCTTACTGTATTCAGTACAATCACATGTTGTATAGTTTTGTAGACTAGAAACAATAGGTTATATCATATAATGTAGGTGTGTAATAGATTACACCATCTGGGTTTGTGTACCTACATCTATAACGGTCACATAGTGATGAAATCACCTAATGATATATTTATCAGAATTCATCCCAGTCATTAAGTGACACATGACTGTAGTCACATCTACCATTCAATAATCGTACCACTCTTCTTGTTCACTAGGCTTCAGTCATACTGGCCCTTCTCCTGTGCCTCCAGTAAGCCGGGCTTTTCCCCGTCTCAGGGCTTTCTGATTTGTTGTTACCTCTACCTGAAATATTCTTTCCCCACTCTTCATGAGGCTAACTACTTCACATCTTCTAGATCCATACTCTTAAACTTCAGTGAGCATTCAAATTATGTGGGAATTTTGTTTAAAAGGCAGGTCCTGATCCAGTAGGTCTGGGAACTGAAGGGCCTGGGTTCTGCCCTTGTCACAAGCTCCCAGGTGATGTAAAAAAATGCTGCAGATTCATGGGAAACATTGTGAATAACAAGACCATAGATCTAGATTTAAATATCTCTTCCACAGTGAGGCCGTCCCTAAATGACCTTCCACCAATATAATCACCAGCAAATTTCCTGTCCCTGTTCCTGCTGTTTCTTTCATGCTACTTTTCACAACTTATAATTTTATGTCATCTCATTATTTTATTCTGTCTCATAATGTATATACCTCATCTCAATCAAGATCGTTTTTGTTTCCCAGCTCCAGAATTCTATAGTTTCTGAAAATTATTAACACTAGATCCTAACCTACTTTTGTTTTTGATTCCATTATAGTAGTTGTATAGTTATCAGAACAACTATATAGACATCGAAATCAGTGTTCTTTAGTAAGAGGATGAAAATATCAAACATTAATGATGTTTGTAATGAGTATGGCTTCATATTTAGAACTGTCATGCACCTACTTTCCTACTGAATGCCTGGATTCAGAGTTAAAATGCAAAATAAGAAATAGAGAAATTATGCAAGTGAATATGGATGCTAGGTTATTCACATACTTCATTTTATTTTCATTTTAGTTTTTACTGGATAATTATCTTAAAAGTATTAAACAGTTTTATCAAAAATAAAAGTTTCATAAATTGCCAAATGATTTATGTTTTTAATGAAGCATTCTACCTGTAACTTGGGGCAATGAAAGCCTAGAAATGTGAGGACCAGATACAGTGACCAAAAATATTCTTATTCTGCACACAGAATATTTCAATATTTCAGACTTATCTTAAAAACTCCTGGAAGAATTCATTTTTCACAGTTAAAATGAATTCCATGACTTTTGTGCCAAATGGCTTGTAAAATTAGTTATTTTTTTGTTGCTGAACTTTACTATATGCCTAGGAGTTTCAGCAGCTCTAAGAGTTTAATATCAAATAAAAATGATAATGTATGCCTTTTTTTGTACTCACGGTGTTCCAGACCTCATGTTTGGTGCTTTCTTTACAGGTATTATCTTATTTACTTAAAGGCCTCGTTAGCACTATATGATATGTATTATGTCACTATCAACAGATACAGAAACAAAGGCAGAGAGAAGTCACCAGACTTCAATGCCAAGCTGTTAACTGAACTATATGTGATGCCTCTTTATATATATGGTCGTTGAGTCACCCATTTAGTAAATAACTTCATATTTGGTCATTCAATGGGTACCATAAGTCTACCTGCAAAGGAGGTACACTGCAAAGGAGATACTACCGCACTCTGAGCCTTATCTTCTTAGCTTTGTGTCTTGGATAAAAGCAATGAAAACTTAGAAATCTGAATGGGTATTTTTTAAAGCTGTTCCTTCATAGAGTATGGTCAAACAGAAAGATTGCTGGACTAGGAATCAAGAAATCTAAGTGTCTATGCAAAGCTAAATAAATCCCTTCCTCTCTATGGGCTTCAGAGGTCTGAAGGATAACATGT